TAAATTCTAACTCCCAAGGAGAGTACCTAACTTCCAACAGAAAATCTAAATCCCAAACGGGATAATTACACTAACAAAAGAAAAAGAAAACAGGAAAACACAAAACACAAACCCAAAAAAGAAAAACCCTTCCCACGAACGGGCTAACACAATAGCAACACCATGATCAACCTCCAACCGGCCAGGCCACGGCCCAAGTTTAGCCTAACTAGAATCAAACACCAAAACCACGACCCGCTCCTTGGCGGCCGACCACAACCTCTCAGCCGGAGGTCAGACGAACAGCCCACCCCACACCACACAACCACCACTCCAAACCGAGCCACAACACGGCCAGGCCCAGTGCAACGGCCAACTCTTCTTCCCTAACACCAGGGGAAAAAGAAACCGAAGAGTACGTAGTCTCCGCCCTCCGCCCTGACCACTAACGCGGCAATCGGAGCCGCAACCCACCCCCGAAGAACCCACAGCGCTCCTCCGCCTCGCCGCCATGGAAATCGGCGAATTCGTCTCGAGATGGCAGCCCTAATTCGCTGAAGACCACTCGGGACCGACCGACTCCAGAACCGCTCGCGAAGATGGGATTCGGTACCTAATCGAGGACAGGCCGCAAGCCAGGAATCGGCCACCGTCGAGAAGACCGGCGGCCCTGCCGGGGAAGACAAGGAAATTTTCAATTTGTGGCTTTTTCTTTTGGAGAGAGAAAAGTGTTTCGGAGAGAGAGAGAAGTTTTTTTTGCCCAATTCTTCTTGAATATACACTTTCTTGTTAAATTTGATTATGGTCAATCCATATGCGTCCTTTCTGATTTTTGCGATATATTGAGCATTATTGCTATCATCTCGTTGAGCAATGATGTCTTGCAGTATAGTTCCTTTCAAATTCTTTTGAGTATATAAAAGCCAAATTTACAATGGATGTATCGTGTACAGTTGAGATCTTCTAGTTTATTTTATAATAGTACAATAGATGTGTGCTATATGAGTATTTGATAAAATAATTAAATGTAAAATAAAAATAAATTTTTTTTAAAAAATATTTTGTTGAAGTTATGCGAAAAATAATTGAGAAACAATATATAACAAAATTTATAGTAAAAAACTGAGTGAATAATTATTATTATTTTAAATTATAAAAACTAATTTATATACATCATTACTTTTATTTATAATATTTTTTACTTAAAACACATACGAGAATAATATGGACAAAACACAAATTTTAGGAAGTAAGATAATATGCTTATAAAAAGAAAATAATACATATATCTATATGAAATAATTTAAATATACTAAATATGTATATATATGACAATCTAAACCTAAGCTAGTTGCTATAAAAATTAATTAATTTTATCCAGGTAATCACCTCTATATATATTTTCAGAATGTACTGAGCCTAAGTCGCATAATCTCATGCTTCGAAATCATATGTGTCAAATTTTCATGTTTTGTCATTTAGTTAGGATGAATTTTAATTTACTCTCTCTCTCAATTAAAATACAATTAGGTTTAGAATAGACATAAATATACTAGATATTGATGGTCATTTTTAAGAGCATTATTATTAAGTTTCCTATTCTACATATGATTTATAAGGCATATTTTTTTCCTTAATATTTTTTTTTTCCTCATTTTTCTTTTAAAATTATGAAAAAATTATTAACTTAAATTATAAGTAAATTTAAAGTTAATAAGAATTTTTATTTATCATCAATTTTTTATACATAATATATTAAATTAATCATGTCGTGATGAACTTTGATTTAACATCTATATTATACATACAAATTAAATAAATAATTATATTTATCCTTATAATAAAAAAATTACCTATTAATATTAATTCAAAAATAAAATTATATAAATTAATTTATCTACAAAATTGTTAAATGATATAATTTAAAAAATAATTATAATATAAGATGTCAAGCCGTATAAGTGATGTGTGTTATTTTGAACATAAATAGTAATACAAATATACAATTATTCAAAAAATATTTGAAAATTAAGACAATTTTTATTATTATTTTAAATTTTAAATATAAATTTTTTAACAATCACCCTGTGGAATACACAGATACTGTACTAGTATTTTGTATTACGAAACGTGCGAAATTGTCACTTAAGACCATCTTCAACCGAAAAACTCATTCTCAAACTCATTTTAAAGTAACTGTCACATTTTTCAGTAATTAATCTCTAACCGAATAACCCATTCTTAAATCCAAAAGAATATTCTTGAAATATTCTCTTTTACATCAATTTTTACAACTTTTCAATACTACCCACATATTTTACAAGTTTACAACTTAAACCACACTATTATTTTAAATTCAATTTGGACTTTATAGAATAAAATTAATTATAAAGTTATAATCATATACATAATAAAATGGAGAAATAAATATTCATTAAAAATTACAACACACAAGATAAAATTAAAAATTACAACGCACAAATAAATAATATGTATATTTTACATTATTATTGTGAAATATATAAAATTAAATACTTTATTATTGTGAAATATATAAAATCAAATGATAAATATAATATTTATTATTTTAAATATAATACTATCTAAATTTTATGAAATTATTTTCTTAGTATTTTATATTATTATTGTGAAAAATATAAAATTAATATGTATATTTACTCTATTATGAACAAATATAAAATAAACACTTGGATTTGTATACAGTTATTGGATTAAACTTGTTGTCAAGTATGCACAATCTATAAATGTTTTAGTAATACTATAACTTTTATTGTTATTTTCCTAAGTTTAAAATTTAAAAACGTACAATGAAGGCAAAAATAAAACACGGTAAAATCAAATGATGGGCATACAATATAAATAAATTAGAATATGAATAACACCTTAGAAAACAAATAGGAGCAAATTGTAGTTAAAAAAGATTTTGCATTTTGGAACATTGCAACGCAAATTTGGTGTAGAGGAGGAGAGAGAGTTAGGAAAAACTCATTTTGTGTTTTCCATTTGGGTATCGGTTGGGGACGAATCACTCCATTTTTTGAGTTTTCGGTGTCGGTTGGAGAAGGACTAAGCTAGGGGTGAGAATGAGTCGATACGGTTCTGAGATTGATAAATCTCTGAAATCGTACCAAGATTCAGAGATCACTAAAATTCGATATCCGGAACCGTACAAAAATATCAGTTCGTTTCAGTTCGGAGGTTTTTATTTTTTGGTTCGGTTCGGTTCGGTATTCGGTACTATCGAAAAGGTTCGGTTCGATTTGTAATTATTTTTTAATTTTTGTTATATTTATTATATGTTTTTATTTAAATCTAACATTCATTAATACTTTATCATACTAAAGATTTTAATTTTAAATCAACATTATAAGTAACTTTAAATTTTAGGTAAGACTAAATTTGTGCAATTAATATTGAAAATTTAAAATTCAAACAAAATATGATATTATTTCTTTTTAGAAGTAAAATTTTTTAACCTTTCATACCATGTTAAGTATAAGATAAAATAAGACTAAGTATCGACAAATTTAAGTAAAAGTTTAAATATTTGTTTAAAAAAATATTTCTTACAAATTTAAGTAAAAGTTTAAATATTTGTTTAAAAAAATATTTCTTTAATATTTTATTCCATTTTAAATATTTTTTTTATTCAGAAAAAATTTAATTGTAGATCATGTATCACTAAGCATGAAATTTAAGTGAAGCTTAATTATTATTACTATATTTTATTTGTATTTTAGAAATTCTCAAATTATATAGGATCAAAGTTGACATAGAATATATTAATAACACATATTTAATGTTATAATCTGGTTCGGTACGATATGAGTCGATTCGGTTCGTCTTTCAGTACAATATTTGTGAAATTTCCAGAACTATACCACTTATATTTTTGATTCAGAGAAAGTCAATTAGTCAACAACTAGTGTATATCCCGTGCGATGCACGGAAACAATATTAAATTAATAATATTATAAATAGAACTCGAGTTTGAGTCGCTCAATGACCGAAGTGGAAACTATTATTGATCCTATTTAAAAAGAGGAAGCAAAAAAAATAATTATAAATTAAAGATTCAGGGTCAAACAATGTAAAATTATTTTGTATAAGATAATATAAAAAAATTTGATTACACACCATTTCAAAATTATTATTATACTTTTTTGTATGGTTAGCTTATAATATTTGTAAATATATTAGTAATTATACCGATAAAAATTAGCTTCTTAAAGTAGATAATGGATTTTCAGTAGTAATTATGAATTGATTTTTATTTTATTTTATTTTTTCTTTCTAAAGATAATGGATTTCTAGTAGTAATTATGAATTGGTTTCTATTTTATTTTATTTTTTTAAATCTGTATAGATAAGGGATGAAATTTTTTAAACACGGGAGACGTATGCAATGGGATTTTGTAACAGAAGAGATAAGCGTGTAGATTTATACTAAAAATAGAAAAAAGAAAAACAAATATTTATTGTCAAACAACGGTTATAAACTAATAAAAAATGAGCCGATTTTTTTGCCTATTTAGATTTGTCCAATAATTACTATATTAGGATATATTTAATGATTTTGGCGGGAAAAAGTTTCTAAATTTGTAAAAAGGTTATTCTTTTTATATAATGATAGATTATTTTTCAATTCAGAACAGGGGCGGATCCAGAATTTTTTTTTGCGGGGGACTGCATATTTTTAATAATCATAAATTTAATTTATGGTACATAAAAAATAGAAAGTTGTATTATAAAGTTATACATAATAATGGTGTAATATAAATTATAAAGTTTTAAACCTTAACATTAACAAATTGACATTGAACGCTCTCTCAACTCATGATATATATATATATATATATATATATATATATATATATATATATATATACTAGAAATTACAAATCTTGGGGGGACAATGGCCCCCCCTAAAATACATATAGGTCCGTCCCTGATTCAGAATGATTTTAGTTCGATTTGATTCGAAATTTTCTGAATCCCATGCCCAGCCCTAATCTAAGTTCCGTTTTGAAAATATGTATATATGGGGATGTAACTTAACGGACCAGACTGCAATTTGTTGCGTTATACTCTTTCCCGCCAAAACCTCCACTATTACTCAGCCCTACATCTCATTTTCCCGCCGTTCTCCAACATTGCCACTCGATCTCGTCTCTCTCTCTCTCTCACAAACAGTTAAGCTATCGGAAAAAGCTGCTGGCGAAGATATGAATGACCTCGACTTCAAACAGGACAAAGGTAAGCCGCAAATTACACAACCTCTGCGCAAATGAACATTTCTTCGTATGCACTTTACTCAGCAATTCTCGATTGTTCTTGATCCAGAAATCGCGAGGGATTTCCTCACAAATTTTGCGGATCCGAATGGCGAGTCCAAATATATGAATGTCCTTGTAAGATGCCCTAATTTATCTCTCGAACCTCCATCGTCGGCGGATATTTAAGGATTTATCTTGTGGTTTCTTGCTTTAAATTATTTCATTTTATGTTTACAGCAAGATGTAGCGAATAGAAAGACTAAGGCCGTCCAGATCGAGCTCGAAGACTTAATTAATGTAATAATCTCATCAACTTTTAGTTCATCCGTGTCTTAAATTATTGTGGTGAAGTAAATGCTCTGATTTAGGTTACTCTATTGACCTTTTTTCACCTTTTAACATTTTTTCTTAAAAAAAAGTACAAGGACTTGGATGATGAATTCTTGAGGCGTGTCACCGAAAATGCTCGGCGTTACATTGGCGTATTTTCGGAGGCAATTGATGAAATACTGCCTCAGCCAACAGAGGTTCTTCTGGATGACGACCATGATATTTTGATGACCCAGAGGGCTGAGGAAGCAAATGAGGGTTCTGGTGGCTCTGATCCACAAAAGAGGATGCCTTCTGAGATCAAGAGATATTAGTAAGATTCATGACAGGGGCTTTAAGTTCTGTTGTTCAACTGAGTGATGTTTCATAATCTAATAATTGATCTTGTCCATTGTCCAAAGTTCTAGTTAGCTGCTAGCAATATTTGTAATTTGTAGTTCTCTACTTAACCATCACAATGATTACAACATCCTAAAATTTGACTTGAAATTATGTGTTGGTGGCGAGCTGTCCAATGCTGTTTAAGAACTAGAAACACTAATTGTTATCGAAAAATGTTAAAACATCACTCTGGGAGTAGACAGAGGAAAACCATATTCCTATGAATCTTGTGAGGAAAGAGAAGTGACATTAATAATTTGCTTATGTTTAAACAGCGAAGTTTATATCAAAGCATCTTCAAAAGGGCGGCCTTTCACAATTAGGGAGGTCAAGGCTTCGTACATTGGGCACCTTGTGAGGATATCGGGCATTGTGACACGTTGCTCAGATGTTAAACCGCTAATGCAGGTGGCTGTCTATACATGTGAAACGTGTGGATTTGAGATCTATCAGGTACAATTCACCGCCCTCTGCTTGACTTTTATTTTTAGTGAGCTCAAATGTGCTTTCAGATAACCCTACTCGCTCTTACATTTGCTATAGGAAGTAACTGCTCGAGTGTACATGCCACTTTTTGATTGCCCATCTGAACAGTGCAAACTGAATCATGCCAAAGGGAACCTTAATCCCCAACTGAGAGCATCTAAATTTTTGAAGTTTCAGGAGGTTTGCAATATTTCAAGGGTTCTTTAATGATGATATAATCAAATCTTAGAGTTCTGTATTAAAAGTGATTAAACTTGTTTTCAGGCCAAAGTTCAAGAATTAGCTGAGCATGTTCCTAAAGGTCACATTCCTCGAACGATGACTGTTCATTTCAGGGGGGAGCTCACAAGGAAGGTCAGTGATATTTTTCATCTTTCAGGCTTTTTAAGAACCTCTCTTTTGCTTGCTGACATTGCAGGGCAGGAAGCCTGGTTCTAATTCAAGAGTAGTTTGCTAGATATAACTGGTTATATGTTGCCTGGACTTAAACCCAAATGTACTTGGTTATTTGTGCAAACTTAGAGCAATGCTTAAGATATATGTTTATGTCTGTACGAACTGGAGCTAGATCTAATTTAAATATATATAAAAATGCTCATGCTTCAAAGAAATTTTAAGATGTAGACTATCCTTTGTAATCTTTTCAATCTGTCCTTACTTGCAGTACTTAGTAAATTCATGTAGCTCTTATAGATGTTGAAATCAAGGCCTAATTTTACTAAAGCTCAATTCTTGGGAAATAAAGCTTATTATTACTAGTCATCTTTTTCTTCAATTTAGAGCCAGTCTTGGTTCGAGGCTTTTAAGTTTTTGTTTTTCTTTATTCTGTAGGTAGCTCCTGGAGATATTGTTGAACTATCAGGGATATTTCTTCCAATCCCATACACTGGATTTAGAGCGATGCGAGCTGGTCTAATTGCAGACACGTACCTAGAGGCCATGTCTGTCTCTCATTTCAAGAAAAAATATGAAGAGTAAGGCCTTTATGCTATATTTTTCTGTTCCCTAGCATACTGTTGCTTGAGGGGTTATTAAATATGTTATCTACACACGACACCCTTGTACATTTTACAGACCAACAGAGTTATTCTTGTATATAGGCTGCTTTGATGTGTATAAGGTCACGATCTGATGCTGCTTTTAAGATTTTGAATGTTAGTGAAAAGACTTTCTAATAGAGAGCAACAGTCAACTCCATTATATGCTACCTTGATTGGGAGAATAATAAACTCCTATCAGAAATGTTCTGTCTTTTGAATTGGTGGGGAAGTAAGTGGAAAATATTTTCAACAGAAAAATAATGCTAAAATTTGCTGATAATGTATTTTCTCTTCTGGTATCCTGCAGTATCAGTTTGTTGAACTAATTGATTATTTGAATTTCAGATACGAACTTGGAGGGGATGAGGAGGAACAAATTGCCCGTTTAGCTGAGGATGGTGATATCTACAACAAATTGGCTCGCTCACTGGCCCCAGAAATATTTGGTCATGAAGATGTGAAAAAAGCTCTTCTTCTTCTCCTAGTTGGTGCTCCTCACCGGAAGTTGAAAGATGGGATGAAGGTGAAAGAATGGACATATATTTTCATCCTACTAAATGTTTATGACAACTTATATTTTCTGTAACCAAGATAACATTTCATCCATAATTTAGTTCTCAGTTATTTAGAGCCATCCATTTTTATACAAAAAAACTTATATTTATTTGTAGCATCATGAATTTAACCAGGCTTGTCCACATGATAATGCAGATTAGAGGAGATCTACACATATGCTTGATGGGTGATCCAGGTGTTGCGAAAAGCCAGCTTCTCAAACACATAATCAACGTTGCACCAAGAGGTGTGTACACGACTGGGAAAGGAAGCAGTGGAGTTGGTCTGACTGCAGCTGTTCAGAAGGATCCAGTGACGAATGAGTTTGTTCTGGAAGGAGGGGCCTTGGTACAGTTGCTTTTTACGTGTTAACCTCAATTTTTCTTTTACCCAGTCTTTCTTGTATTGCAGTCGTACATTTTTAAGTACCATTTTTTTTAATCAGGTACTCGCAGATATGGGTATTTGCGCCATTGATGAGTTTGACAAAATGGACGAATCGGACCGTACGTCTATACACGAAGTCATGGAGCAGCAAACTGTTAGCATTGCTAAAGCTGGTATCACTACATCTCTAAATGCAAGGACTGCTGTTCTCGCTGCTGCTAATCCTGCCTGGTATACCATATCACGAATATATATATATACAATTTTTGCAATTTCATCTGCATTTGTGTAATCTATCCATGTTTGGCTTCTTTTCAAGTAGTGAGGGTGGTGTAAGAGTCTGTTATACTTATATCTGACATTTAGTAGCTTATCTTTACAGTGTTTATTTTGATGATTTTTAATGTTTTTTCTTTTTAAATTTTTTTAAGGGGGAGATATGATCTGAGAAGAACACCGGCCGAGAACATTAATCTGCCTCCCGCTCTTCTGTCAAGGTTTGATCTCTTATGGTTGATCCTAGACCGAGCAGATATGGACACCGATCTTGAGATGGCAAGGCATGTTCTGCACGTTCACCAGGCAAAGGAATCTCCGGACTTAGGGTTCACTCCTCTCGAACCTTCAGTTCTTAGGTATTTCAGCTGTTTGTAATTACTTATTGTTGCAGCATTTGAAATTTATCCCGACTTCTGTGTTGTGGAAAATATGATACCATCTACGTAATTCTCGTGATGTGTTGTCTAGGCAACTTTCATGTAAGCTGTTTCCAAATTGAGCTGAGTACACAATTGTTATTTTCAGGGCATACATTTCTGCTGCAAGAAAGTTGTCTCCAGCTGTACCAAGAGACCTGGAGGAATATATAGCAAGCGCTTATTCTAGTATCAGGCAAGAAGAGGCAAAATCAAAAACCCCCCACTCTTACACAACTGTCAGAACATTACTCAGCATTCTAAGGATATCAGCAGTAAGTATAAAATCATGAATGGTGTGATACAAACTTTATCAGTTTTGACTATTAGTCGACACTTGTTCCTTAGATACCATGAGGAAGTTCTTAGACCTCACTCTTGAGTATAATATCACGAATTGATTATGGGTTTTGCCAATCAAAATAACTTCTGACGGTTATACTATTTCCCTTTGTTTCACATTGGAAAATGCATGCTTTTCCAAAAGCTTCCAAAAGAAAATATATAATTTTCATCCCTTATCAGGCTTTGGCTAGACTCAGATTCTCCGAGTATGTTGCTCAAAGTGATGTGGACGAGGCCCTTAGATTGATGCAAATGTCAAAATTCTCTTTGTACTCGGATGATCGTCAAAGATCAGGCCTAGATGCAATTTCCGACATTTATTCAATATTGCGAGATGAGGCTGCCAGAACCAACAAGGTGGATGTGACTTATGCCCATGCTCTCAACTGGATATCGAGAAAGGTACGTTTTTATTGACCCTGATCGATATTTTCTGGGCTGGAGGTGATTAAGAATTAAATGAGATTGAATCAGTCTACTTGGGTAGCTACTGATGGCTTTAATCCTGCCAAACGAATTGTCCTTTTGTCCATTTTCTTTTCCGATGAAGCTCAAAATAGTTAAGCTCTCTTTTTAATTGAAATTGCTTTTGGATGTGAACACAGGGATACAGCGAAGCTCAGTTGAAAGAATGCTTGGAGGAATATGCAGCCTTGAATGTGTGGCAGATCCATCCTAATACGTTCGATATCCGTTTTATAGATGTTTAAAAGGACAAGTTTACTTAAATTTCGTAGTCGTCATGTATGCTCCAGCATATGTTGATATCTCAATTATTCAAGGCGAATTTAACTAGTTAGTCGAAGTTATGTGCGAGTTATTATCTATTAAATGAATACATGTGACTAGATTCTGAACGATGCTGCAGTAATCAAGTTATGGTGTACGATTGTTAGATGTTTTTGGAGTCTTGAGGTGTTGTAAAACTCAACTCGAATTCCTTGACCGCGTAATGGTTTTTAATTTTTATGTACTGTGATGCAGGCTTGTAATTTACTTTTTGAGATTTCTTCTTGTCATATGTGAATAACTACTAATTCTTTTCAACAGCAGTCCCTTCACAGTNCCTTCTTTCATAGTGGCTATATGTGGATAAACTGAAGACAAGCAAATTGTTATTTCACTGTAGCGCCGACTTTTAAAGGTTGCATTTAATAACCAAGACAAAAGAATAATCTCAATGCAAAAATCTGAAACACTAACAAGAACAATATTGTTACCAAAAGGTAGAACAAGCAGGTACATTTTTTTGTACCTAATATTTTTATCCTTTTCTCTTGACCTCAGACAATGCTTTAAAAAAAAATTCCTTCTTCAGTGGTTTGGCTGAATAAATTATCCACCCCAGCCTGAACCATCTTCTCCAGTCTCCTCTCCTTCACTGGCAGTTAACGCTATAATCGGCACACGAAAACCGTACACTTCCTCTACTTCCCTGATTCTTCTAGTTTTCTCAACCCAATTCATTAACAAAAAACCATAAGCCACTAAATAAATTTGCCAGCCTCATTTACCTCACAATCCATAATGATTCAATCAAAAGGAACTGAATCCTTATCTCCACCATCTACTGTTCCATTCCCGAGCATTTCGAGGACGAGCTTCTAAGCCTCTTCTCCATTTTCACAAGTGATAAAATCATCTGCACCAAGCCGTGAAACCACACACTCCTACCTTCTGCTCTATAAGACCAAACATCCACCATCAATATCTTCTTCCCTGCCAACAGCTTTCGTTCAGTAGGTCCTTCAGCTTCCTCAACTTCACTTTTACGGCACACAGACCTTTTTACTCTGGTACACAAGCAGGACCCGTGAAGTCGAGATTCACCAACTGCATGTTAACTTGATTTGGAATTGTATCGATTTTAAACGAATTAAAAGACATGATTGTGATCGCTGATACTTGAATTTAGTTAATTGGACACCTTAAAGCGTTGAAGAATTTTGGTGGCCAAAGTAATCGAACAGAAAACATTAAAACAAAAAACAAAAACAGCGCTTCAACAGAGACTAATGCCTCACAACCAGCAATTTCCCATATAAATTCCAGATTTCTAAACTTGAAAGACAACATCTTCAACACAATCTCGGCACCCAAACCATTCCACCCTAATCATCTCCCCCATCTTGCCAGCACATCTGCCACCTCAGATATTCCCGGGAATTTCCTCTTCCGGTTTCCGCTCTCCAGAAAATCGAGCCTGGGCGCCTTCATTCCCTTGTCAATCATCTCCTTCAGAAACCCACAAGCTTCCTCTGACCTCCCCAGCCTAATAAGTCCCCCAACCAAGACAGTATAACTATTATCATCCGGGCAAATTCCCCTTCTCTTCATCTCCTCCCAAACCCCACGCCCCATCTTGCAATCTCCCATCACAAAGTACATTTTCATGATCATATTGTAAGTGTGGATAGAAGGTTGAATTCCGCCTTGTATCATCTTCTTGTATATCTTCACAGCATCATCTGGCATTTTCAGTCGGGTCATCATTTTAATCAGTGCATTATACATCTGACCGTCAGGCGGGCACCCTTTCTCTTTCATATCATTTAACAGCCTCTGCACCATATCCATTTTCTTCTGTTTTGCAAAGCCTGTTATCAGGCAAGTATACAGAGCTGGGTCGGGAGCACACCCTGACTTTATCATGTCGTCAAAATAATTAACGGCCTCGTTCATATAGCCGTGTTTGCAGAGATAATTGATCAATATTGTGTAGCTCCTCACGTTTGGATTCGGGCCCTTGTTCGACCTCATGACCTCAAACAGCTTAATCGCGTCTGACCTCTTGCCACATGTCAGCAAGCCATCGAGCATTGTGTTGTGGGTGACAACATCGGGCTTGAGCCCATGTTCAATCATCTCGTTCCACACACGGCAGGCTTCCATCAGATTCTTCACACGGCACCAGCCGTTGAGCAGAATCGTGTACGTGAATACATTCGGGGTGAATTTGTGCTCCATTTTTTCAAAAATAGCTTGAGCTTCCTTTGCAAGCTTGGCCCTACACAGGGCATCCAATAGGCAGTTTATGGTCTCAACCCCGACTTCAAAATTGTACTTCCGCATCTGATCGAAAATTCCAATGGCTTTTTTCCGCTCCTTTGAGGCGGCAAAAGCCTTAATGGAGATGGTGAAGGTTTCCATTGTCAGCAAACCCTTACTGCCCATTTCATCAAAGACTGCAGCCATCGTCTCAAACTGCCTCGCCTTACTGAGGATGTTCATCATTGCGTTATAGGTATTAGAATCGTGATCAAACCCGGGCTTTTGTCCGGCCCAGATGAAAAAGCGGAAAGCGGGCTTCCGGGCATGCTTGAACCGATCCAAAACAGCCAGGACCAGTTCGTGAGTAAGATTAATCTGGCACTCGTCCAGCACGGCCTCCATGTTCCGATCGACGGCAAACGTTTCGTCAATCACCTGGCATACCCGATCCACTTCCTTCCGATCGACCTCTAATTTCGCGCAGTCGTTAGCAGAAGATTCATTCTCGCAATCGCTCTCGGGTTCGGAATCGGAACGCGTCGGATCTACATCTTTGTTATAGGATCTAGAGTTATTCAAGCAAGGAAACGAACTATAGGCTCGGATTAACGGCAGGACTTTTTGAAGAGGAGGGAGTGCAGAGGCGTGTGGCAGTACAAGCGGAATTTGACGATGAGCACGATTGAGGCTACAGTGAACAAAAGCACCAAACAGAAAATGCAGGGGCAAAGAGCTACCGTAAGTTTGCTTTCTTTGAATTCGTCGTCCTCGTAGCGCCGAGGCTTGTCCGTCGCTGGTAGGGTGTAGCTCGGCGGCGGCGGCGAGTTCGCCATCTCGTCTGAGGAAATCAGTGAGCAGCGAGGATTTGGCGACTCCCGATCTTTTGGTGTAGCTTAAAGGGAAAGCCATGGGGCAGCCATTAAATGGAGTGATTTTTACAGTGAGGTGTAGGTGAAGGGGATCAATCTGTGAGCTAATGATTTTGCCATGCGTAGATGGTCTTAGGTCGTAAGGTTTTGTTATGGGCTGTTGGGCTTTGTCAAGCTTTGTGATATGGGCCTAGACTCGCAATAGCTGGGCCTCTATATCTTTAAGAAATCCTCCCATACCTTCTTCTTTATATATATTTTCTTAGAAATGGACGCTCTCTTTTAAGTTGTAAAAATTTTATTGCCCTTTTGCTACAGTGAATGATTACTTTCATAATGAGGAAATTACACCCCCCACGACCCCACAGCATTTTTATTACATATAAACTACTCAACTATATTATTTAGCAAAAGTGCCTAACCTAACTATTTTATTTGTAATCCTACTAGCATCAGTTTCTTTGTTTTGAATTTTTAATTAAGGATGAGTTATGTTTTATTTGGATAGTGGCGGATTTAGTGGGATTTGGTTAGGAAGTTTAAAACAAATTTATTCCTTTCTCTCTCCTCCATTCATAGTTCTCATCCGAACTATTTTCTTCTTCACATCCTCTCATTTCCATGGACGACTACAAATCGCCAACCGCCTTTTCTTCTCCTTCGGCGTCTTTTTTATTTTCTTTTCCTTCTGCAAAAATAGACACTAAACAAGATTCTGATTTTTTTTCAAGGCGAATAAAATCGACATGGACGAGTTGAGTCTCGACGAGAACTTCGTTGAAAGTGAGAGATGGAGTTTCAAAATCCTGGTTGGCGGCCGCTGGTGAAGGAGCATTCAAGCCGGAGATGCGTTGGATCCCTACAGTTTTTTTTTGGGTGGACAGCAGCGACTTCAAGCGGCGTGCACAGAAGATAGTACAGCCCTTTTTCGGTGACGGAGGGTGAGTTGAGGAGGGAGGAATAGGTGGCGGGGTCGGGGGGCGTCCATGGCGGCGGAGGATAACGATTGAAGATAGATTTCCAATTCTCTTTCTCTGTCAGCCATTTTTTTATTTTTCCATTTTCCATTCACAGGGGTTGGAACTGCATAATGATCCAGTCCATCCCAAGCCCAAACCAGTATATGTTACACAAAATATACTTTAAATATACACTCGAGCTTCAATCGTTTCTCAAATATACACAAAATATACTTTAAATATACACTCGAGTTTCATTCGTTTCTCAAAATCGATTTCAGAACCCACATATACATAAAATATACCTAAGATATACACTCGAGATCACGTACATGAGACGAGCAGACACAAAATATACACAAAATATACTTTAAATATACACTCGAGTTTCAATCGTTTCTCAAAATCGATTTCAGAACCCACATATACATAAAATATACCTAAGATATACACTCGAGATCACGTACATGAGACGAGCAGACAAGAAGGTCTCAGGCGATGGTTGAGCAGGTCCAATTGGTTATCTTTTCTTAAATATGGAATATGAAATCAAGATCTGTAACTGATTTTTAGGCAACAATATAATTAATTACTAGCTATTAGGTACATACACAATTAATTGTGTATTAATGGTAATTTTGCAATATTCCTACAATCGTGTAGGATAAGTGAAAATGTCCCTTTCATAATTATCTATTGGGTTAATTGCCTTAAAAATTACAACCTTTAGTTAAATTGTAAATAAAACTCAAGATTTTCATTTTAGCACAAAAAATATCAACCTTGTTTAAATTTTGCAATTGTGTCTCGAACAGATATTCCGGCCAGTACGCAATGACGTGGCGGATCGAAAAAATGACATGGAACACAAATGCAATACTTCCTGCCACATCATCAGATACCTATTTTTACACATCACACATTACCCACGTCACCCTCCACGTCATCAACCACCTCATTGACACGTCACCTAATTGGACACATCAACGCCATTCCAATCGATTTTATCCGGCCCATTTTCTTCATCCCGGCCCTAATCTCTCCTCGTCGACGGAGTAATCGGATCCGGCGGCGGGCTGAGCTCCAGAGACCAAAGAACTCAACTCCCGGAGCACTTGCTTCCTGTGCTTCTGCTTGGAGGGGGATGACACCCTTCTACGGCCGGATCTATTCTCCTCGCCCTTGTAGTAGCCGTCGCCCCAGCCCAACAGCACGGGCCCGCCGTAGTCAACGACCAAGGACTGCCAAAAGATGGCGTAGGTCCAGCTCTCGCGGGCACCCTCGATCAACGTGAGGAGGCACCGCTAGAGGGTCTCCTGGCTGAGGAATGTCGGCTGCGTCTGGTGGTTGTCTACGGCGGTGGAGGAGGAGGGCCAGAGGGAGGCTAGATCGGAAGCGGACGACGAAATAAAGGCGTAGGCCATGGAAGCTCCGACATCCGTTGCGGCAGGAACGACGACCGGCTAGATATAATTCATGTTCGCAGGAGGCTGTGAGGACGTGAGAAGAAGATAATCTATTATCATTGCAGAGAAGAACCTAACAAGCTTATCCTTATTTTTATAATAAGAATGCTGACATGAAATTAGGGGTGGGATGAAGAATGAGAAAAGGGGATGAAGAGTGCTGGGATGAAATTTGCGTCGGCCACAGGGAAGGAGATGAGAGAGAATTAGAAAAGGGGATCAATTGAAATTAGGGCTGGGATGAAGAAAATGGGGCTGATGACGTGGAGCTGATTTTTATTATAAGAGTGCCACGCAATCAAGTCCAGTGCCACATCATTTTTTCGGTTCGCCACGTCATTGCGTACTGGCCGAAATATCTGTTCGAGACACAATTGCAAAATTTAAACAAGGTTGGTATTTTTGGTGCTAAAATGAAAACCTTCAGTTTTTTTTGAAATTTCACTAAAGGTTGTGATTTTTAAGGCAATTAACCCTTATCTATTTTTATTCTTATGATGTATTTTTAAAGTTCTTATTTAATTAATATTAGATAACTGTTTAGAGAGGTGTGACAGTTTTAACTCATTTCTCTCTCTCTTATCTTCTCTTCTTTTACTTCTCCCGTCACTTTCCCCTTCTTCATTTCTCTCCTTGTTGGGAAAAATAAGCTGAAATTTTCATGAAGTGGGATCTATAAAAGTGAAATAAAAAAAGAAAAATTGAACACGCTAAATTGATAACGGAGTTCGGCCAATAATGCCTACGTCTCCGGACTACTGCAGATATTTTATTAGGAAGAAAAAATACACTCGTGTTTACAAAACACTTTCAAACTCACTCACAACTCACAACTCAAATACACACAGAAGCTAAATTCTTGCTTCTTTCTCACACCTTTTTTCTCTTTTTTTTTTCTTCTTTTGGTGTGTTGTATTTGTTCTTTTCGTTGTGGTGTCTTTCTTCATCAAAATCCATCTCTATTTATAGAGTGGAAGTGCACACTTTTTTCAATATGTGTGTGCTTAATTTTCCACAAAAAAGAGCCGAGTTGTTGGTGCAAAATTTCAACAAATTGATGCTGCCAACATTTCTTCTTTTTCTGCTCAAAGAAAGGGGTTGAGTTGCTTTTTTTTTACTCAGCAATCTCCCACTCGAGGATTGATTTCAATCTGTCCTCACACCCCAATTACTACAGTAGTCTTCTCCGGTCTGTTATTCTAGCAAGCCAACTGAAGTTGAGCACAACTTCAGTTTGTCAATGGTCACCACCTTCGTTAACATATCTGTTGGGTTCTTGCTTCCTACAATCTTCTTCAAAATCAACACTTCATCCTCAAGAAGAGATCTGATGAAATGATATCATATGTCAATGTGCTTAGTTCTGGAGTGAAACACTGAGTTCTTTGCCAGATGTATTGCACTCTGACTGTCATTGTGCAAGACACTCTTTTTTTGAGTGAAACCCAACTCTGCTAACAATCCTTGAAGCCATATCAATTCTTTACTGGCTTCTGTCACTGCTACATACTCAGCCTCTGTAGTGGATAGAACAACAATCTTTTGTATTCGTGACATCCAACTAACAGCTGTAGCTCCAACAGTGAAAACATAACCGGTGGTGCTTCTTCAGTGATCAACTTTACATCCAAAGTCTGCATCTACTTAGCCTTGTAACTTTAGATCTCCTTTTCTAAAGTAAAAACATTTTTTTGTTGTACCCCGTAGATATCTCAAAATCCATTTGACAGCTTCCCAATGAGCTTTTTCTGGTTTTGACATAAACCTGCTAACAACTCCCACTGCATGGCCAATGTCTGGCCTTGTACAGACCATCGCGTACATCAAACTTCCAATGGCTGAAGCATAAGAAATGTTAGCTATAAACTCTTCTTCTTCTTTTGTTTGAGGAGACGGGTCCTTGGATAGACGAAAAAGACTGGCCAAAGGTGTACTGACTGGTTTGGCTTTGTCCATGTTAAATATCTGCAAAACACGGTTGATGTACTCTGCCTGAGATAACTGCAAAGCTCCCTTTTGCTTATCTCTCGTGATTTGCATTCCAAGAATCTTCTTTGCTGGGCCTAAGTCCTTCATGTCAAATTCTTTTGACAACTGCATCTTTAATTTTCTGATGTCTTTCATATCTGATCCTGCTACTAACATGTCATCGACATAAAGTAGCAATATGATATAGCTGGACTCATATTTCTTGAAGAAACAACAGTGATCAGCATTGCACTTCTGGAACCCTTCCTTGTGCATGAAGCTTTTGAACTTCCTATACCACTGTCTTGGAGCTTGTTTCAGGTCGTACAAGCTCTTCTTCAATTTTCACACCATATCCTTCTTTTCTTCTGAAAAAGCTTAAGGCTGGCGCATATAGATCTCCTCATCTAGGTCTCCGTGAAGAAATGCAGTCTTTACATCTAGTTGCTCTAGATAGAGCTCTTCACTAGCCACAATATTTAACACAGTCCTGATAGTATTGAGCTTTACAACTGGAGTAAAGATTTCAGTATAGTCAACTCCTTCTTTCTGCTGAAATCCTTTGACAACTAGTCGGACTTTGTATCTCCTGGAACCATCATGGTCTTTCTTCACCCAATACACCCATTGGTTGTGAAGTGTTTTCT